TATACAGTGGAATACTACAGAGCGATAAAAAGAATGAACTGCTGCTATGCTCATTGTATTTGTTTTTTTAGTGCTCCATATAATTATTACCATACACTTAGTTTAAAACTCTACATATTTATCATCACCTGGTTTCTGTGGTTACAAATCCAGGCACAGCCTAGATAGATTCTCTACTTAAGATCTCACAAGGCTTCAGTCAAGGTGTCAGCCAGGGCTGCTTTCTCATCTGGAGGTGTGAGTGTTGAAGGATCCCATGTGTGTGGTTATTTGCGGCATTCATTTCTTTGCAATTGTAGGACTGTGAGCTTCAGTTTTTCACCTGATGCTGGCCAGAGGCCACCCTAAGCTCCTAGAAGTCACTGGCAGTTTCTTGCCACATAGGATCCTCCAACATGGACAGTTTTTCCCTTAAGCCAGGAAGGGAGAGGCTCCAGCAAAATAGATGCTGTAATCCTACCTAACATAATCATGTACTCATAGACATCCCATCACCTTTGCCCTGTTATCACAGTTAGAAGTAAGTCACAGGGCATGTGACAGAGATGGGGGCTATGGAGCCTACCTTAAAAGACTGTTCTCCAGGGGCGCCTGGGTGGCTCAGTGGGTTAAAGCCTCTGCCTTCAGCTCGGGTCATGATCCCAGCATCCTGGGACCGAGCCCCACGTCGGGGCTCTCTGCTCAGCAGGGAGCCTGCTTTCTCCTCTCTCTGCCTGCCTTTCTGCCTACTTGTGATTTCTGTCTGTCAAATAAATACAATCTTTAAAAAAAAAAAGACTGTTCTCCAGACACAGTTACATGGATGAACTTTGACAATATTATGTTGAGTAAAATAAGATGCAAAACAGTACATACTGTAAACCATCTATATGAAATTGTAGGTAAGGCAGAACTAATCAACAGTGACAGAAAGTGCAGCAACAAATAATTAGGGCCTGTGAATGGATTAGGGTGGGTGTTTGCATGTAGTTAGACATTAGACAACTTATGGGAATGATGGAAGTGTTCTGTATACTGATTGTGGTGCTTGTTAGAAGGTTGTATACATTTTTCAGAATTGTTGCACACTTAAAGTGGTTTCACTGCATTGTTTATAAATTATATCTCAATAAAGTAGATTAAGAAAAAAGAACAGTAATCATCATGAGCATTACAAAATATTTAACTTAAATGTGCCAACTAAATCTAATAATATCCTTAAGATATGCCCAAGGGTCAGTAATCAGAAAGTGACTCATTTTCTGTCATTTGAAGAATTTTCAGTTAAAAAATATAGATTCTTATTTTTATAGTTTTTTATAATGTGTACACACCCAGAACTGGCAGATATCATTTTTTTAAAAGATGAGGCTTTAGTATACTGTTATCTTTTCCTTGAGTGAAGTAAACAACACATATTTCTAATGTAATCTTTTGGATGCAGACTGTTGACAAGCTTTCCATAATTTTAGTTCTGAATGGTCACCTTACTTACTCTAGTGATAACTGTCTCATTTACCTTAACCCCAGTTGGTACTGCTTCTCAGAATGTGTTAGCCATTTTCAGTGCTTATGGAAATTTGAAGAATGTATGCTTCGTGAAGTATTTTCCTGCTTGCTTCTTCCAGTCTCTTTTAGAGATTAATGGGAACTTTAATTTGCATGCTCACTTTTACGCTTATTATAGTGTGTTATGTTCCAATAAGAGTATTAACGTTCATTGAAAATCTCATGCATACTGATGAGAATGCAAATGAACATTGATGAAAGAATGCTAAGATCTTAAGGCATAAACTGTCCAGTTATCTTGCTAAATTCTACTCAAACAATGGTTACATTATAATGAAGACTGATATAGAATCCACCATACAGATATAATTAGCAATGGCAAAATCATTATATAGTTTATAATTGGATAGAGGTTCAATTCCAGATTGTTATGAGGATTAAAAAAAAGAAATATAATGATTTGATATTAATGCTTATTTTTATTCCTTCCTCTTCCTAACCTTTGCCAACCTTCAGCAAGATATTTCCTTTGTTGCATATAGTGATTGGGAAAGTTAGGGAATATTATATAAATGAGTGATCACATTGAATATTTCCAGCTGTACCCTTTATTGGATACATAGCAGTAAATTGGCATCAACCATCATCTCAAGAACATTACAAGTATCTGGTTATTGTAGAATTATACAAATTTATCTCAGCAATTGCATTTATTTATCTAGATAAAACAAAGATCTTTTTCCTTGAGCCATTTAAAACAGAGCTAAGGAAGTCCTGTATCTTTCCTGAGAGAATAGTGTGTCCCATGAGGGTGACTATTCTAGGCAGTTCTTAATACATTATCCAAGTTATATTGCATTCTTCCATGCATGAATTTTATAAACTTATATAAACCCAGTAAATTTTAGAAAATACATACCAGAGTTACTCAATCTATTAATTTACATTGGGATTTTTTAAAATTACTGAGATTCTATTGAAGTATTTTTCTAACCTTACCAAAAATCTGAAAGTGCAGCTTTATAGACTCATCCATAAGACCGATTGTTGTTTTGTTTTTCTCATGGTAATAGTAAGTATGCTTTGTGCCTTTATTTTTTCAGTGTGATCTCATGCCAATAATAGGTGGTCACAGACTCTCAAGTACATGGTATTCATTAGTAAAAAGTGTAATATTTAATAATGATTTTTATTTTAAAAAATAATAATAATTTTTGTTTTAGATAATATGAAAGTATTTTTGAATCAAGACAGATAGTTCTTGCTACAAGGCCTTACTTATTGGTAGCTCTAGTACAGAGGCAGGCAGACTTCTTTAAAAGGCCAGGTGATAAATGTTTTGGGCTCTGTGGGTTCTATTATTTTTGTTACAACTACTCAACTCTGCTGGTGTAGTACAAAAGCAGCTATAGATAATATGTAAACAAATAAGTGTGGCTGTGTTCCAATAAAACCTTACTTACTGACACTGAAATTTGAATTATATATAATTTTCATGTGTTGTGAAATATTGTTCTTCATTTAATATTTTTTCAACAAATTAAAAATGTAAAAACAAACCTTGGGTTCCATTTAGCTTGCGGGCTATATAGTTTGCTTACCCTGCCCTAGCACTTGATTTTTCTGAATTAACTTTCTAATTTACTTTAAAACTAAAGATTTACTGCTTAAAACCTTTTAGAGGTATATGGCTCCTATTGAATTATTTCAAAAGAAGCCTCTGTCCTAGAAAAATAAATGTCTATAAATAAAGTTAAGTAACTTAACTTGACCATAAAGAGGCAGTTGAAATTTCTATAAAACACTAATTTCCATGATTGCACAGAGGAGTTTTACTATTGCTGAGCTGGATTTTCTAACACAGGCAAAAGTTCCATTACAACAAATAGTCATATAATGGAAGTATTTTATAGTGGATATATTCATTAACAGCTGTATTAAGTACCTACTGTTTGGAGACATTTAAGTGGTAGAAACATAAATCTCCCATGGATGCATCTTGCCCCTGACAACCTTACAAACCTAACAAGGAACATAAGATCTGTATAAGTTGTGGCTAGAGATGGACCAAATAGGAATGGAAGATAAGGAGAAAGAGAATGCGGAGAACAACAGGTAAAAACTTACAAGTTAGAGGGCAGAAGGTTAAAATGCTGGGACTGTATTAAAAATACATTTATGGAATCAGCGCAAGGCCTGCAGTTGAATGTTGTTCTCTGTACCCCAACAGCCATTCAGTACTGGGCTAGTCATGAGGACAGTTCTTGGTGCTATGACTTGGATGACAGAAGGCAGGCTGGTGGAGCTGGTGGGAAGAGAAGGGAGCTAGTTAGCAGGCAGAGCTCAGGTTTTAGAGCCTGAGGGGGTTGATTCCCAGGCTGTTCCTCACTAATTATGTGAGTTTAGACAGATTGTTTAATCTTTCTGAACCTCAGTTTCCCAATCTGTAAAACGGGGTTAGTAATTCTTACTTTCCGGCATGTAATTAAGGTTATGCCCTATTCCTCTTCCTAGTTGTGTGTTCTTTGCTTGTTTCTTACTGAAATTGGTGAGGCTGCTTAGTACATCATGGGTAGCTTTTGGAGCTAGAGACAGGGTCAAATCTGGACTCAAATGCCACCATTACTATCTAACATGTAAATTTGAGAAAATTATTTAATTTTTCTATTAAATAAGGATACCTTACAGTTTTGTGATGAAAACTAAATCAACTAAAGTGATCAAGCAGTTTCCTACTTTTTAAAGACCAAATTTCTAAAGTATATTTTATCACAGTTTTCTATCTATCCCCATAGGCCAAGCAGATATTATTAATCTCAGTGTTTTTGAGTCTGTTATAAAAAAAAATATAGGTTTATGGGCTAATAGTGATAATGATAGTATTAACTTAGACTTAATGCTTCCTGTATGCCAGACTAAGCTAAGAATTTATAGATATCATTTAACATTCACAACAAACTCTAAAATGTAGATAATTTTATAATTTATATTTTACAGATAGGAATCTGTTTTTTAGAAAATTAAACAGCTTCCCCCAAGTGACACAGCTAGTAAATGATGAAGCAGGGATTTGAACCCAGAAGATCTGATTCTACTCCTAAATGATGTACTATATGTCTTCCATGTGATTCTGATACACTTCCCTAGAGGCACCTGCCCCACTTCCTTCCTGTTGCTATAAGGCATCAGGCACTCAGTTGAATTCAGACAATTATGAAGTCTGATTTTAGATATGGACTGTCCCCTCTTTAATAAACTCCCTATGCTGTTGTATTTTTTTATGATACAAATCACAACCTGACATCATATGTTTGTGTATTTGTTTTCTGTTCCCCTTCACTAGTGTAAGTGCTGCAGGAGAGGAGGAAATTCACGTTTAGTTCCTTCTTGTGTACCCAGTGCCTAAAACAACATGTAACAGGTGCTAATAAATATTTGTTTCATGCATGAATGAATAAAATGCTTGTGTAAATTATCAAAAACTTACATTTAAGTATCATTTTTCTTTCTAGCTTGGATTAGAAAAACAAGAAAGACTCCACCTACTATGGAGGTAAGAATACATAATGAAAATATTCAAATAACATGTTTTTATAATGCTGTGTTTCTCAATTGGGAGTTTACATAGAGCCTCAGAATAAATATATGCATCTTCCAGAGTGTTAATTTTACTCCACAGAAAACAATTTAAAATGTCTTTATAATAAAATAAATGCACAAGTTATGGAATATAACATGAAATTCATATGAATTTTTAAATGAAATAAGAAAAATGCAGCACAGAACAAAAATACATTTTCAAAAGTTTAGACTTAGAGCAGTTTGCATCAGGACATTTTGCCTAGTTCTGGGAGCTTTGTTTTGATATGGGTGTTTGGTGAAAAGTCTGAGAAAGACTGAATCTCATGGTCCTGTCCATTTTGTCCTTAACTTTATAGCAACTGTAAGATTTTGTAATCTTATATACATTTAACTCTATCAAGTATCTGGAGAAATTTTAAAATATACAATTAGCATGTAATATAAAACACTCAGTAATTAATAGTTGAATTTTTATTTTAAACTTCAGAAACATAGTTTTGGTAGTTTACAGAATATAAAGTATAGCAATGCTGTGGTGTATATATTTTTAAAACATTTCATAATTTTCATTTTAAAACAATAGCATAAAGTGTTCTAAAGTTATTTCGTAAGAAGTAATGTATTTCAAAGGAGGAAAATTTCCAAATTCATTAGTGTACTGCCTATTCTGTTTCTCCTATTTATGACTTCCCTCCTGTTTTCTCTCCCCTCTGCCATCACTGCTACAACCCGAATGACAACAGAAATGGGCTCCAACACTCTGGTCCCACTTGTTGTGTACTCCAGGGCAGAATTCATGATGACTCATAAATTGGCATACTTGTGCTTCATTTCTCCTATACTGACCCCATCAATGTTTGTTAGGCCAGGGTCTGAATGGTCTCTAAGCCCATTTCTAGTTTTGAATGTTGCTTCCACTTTGACCCTGCTCTACTCTTGTCAGATATTCTTTCTAGAATCAGTGAACCTTGGAATAAAAAGGAAGAAAAGTCATTGTGATCCAAGATTCAGAATTATCCCCAGTGGTTTACAGTGGTAGGCATCATCAAGGAGCCCTTCAGAGTCCCCTTCTCTTGACCATAATAAGAACTCCTGTTCTCAGAACTAAAGATGATTCTTCCATCCTTAGAACTTTAAAAGGCTTCTTCCATGGAAACATTGATATACAAAGTGATTAAAGTCCTATCAATCTCACCCTTCTTACGCTCTTCTGTACTGTCCCAACACACACACACACACACACACACACACACACACCCCTTTCTCTCCCTCCTGATCTTTTCCATTGTGTTTCAGGAATTTCTGTTTCTTTTTTAGCAGATTACCTTTCATATTTTCTTAGGACCTTTCTCTGCCAGAAAGCCTCAACTGAAATTTGTTTATGTCTAAAAGGTACTGAGGGTCTTCATGCTCATTTTACCACAACCCACAGAAACAAAGTGGGTTCAACTGCCCTTCTTTCCCTAGTCACTTGCAAAAGTATTGTTTCATTTTGTGGGCCCAAGGGAGAGTAGTAACTTTGCAATCTAAGTATATTTTCCTGTCCCTGTTTATAATTTTTGTCTCTGCCAACGTCTAGGCCACTCCCCATACTGATAGTGGAGATGAGAACCAAACTTACAGACTTCTCCTTCAGTGCCTTCCCAAGGCTTAGCCATTCAATTGTTTGTTTTTTTACTTCATCCACACTAATATCCCTACCTCAACTGAACAGCCACTTTGATAGCCACACCTTAGTTCTTATCATCACCAAACTCTGCTCTACCACTAAAACTTGTAAACTGTCAAATTTTAGATTCTACATGTCGTATTAAGAGAGTAAAACCTACTTAATGTAAAATAAGACAAATATACAGAGAACCACAAGAATTAAATGTATAGCTTAATGGGTTATTATAAGGTGAATACCACACAGGTCAAAAACAGAACTCTGTCAGCTACTCCAGAATCATATGCCCTGTATCAGTACAACCTCCCCCAGAAGAAACCCTGAGCTTGACTTTTACAATGATCATTTTCTCAGTTTTAACTAATTCGACCACTCAGATGTACATGATAGTTTAGAGTTGTCCATTTCGTAAAAACTTCATATTTGGTTTTAAATCTCTTGTCAATCTGTGTGGTTCTCCTCCATCCCTTTTATTTTTTGCTAAGTTTGTCTGTTGAAAAACCCAGCCCATTTCACCTATAGAGCTTGCCACAGTTTAGATTTTGTTTATCTTATGTTCTTCATGTGATTCAACATGTTACTCTGTCTTCTTTGATTTCGCAGCTGGAGCCATAGGCTGGATACCCATATTTTGATCTTTTTGTCAGGATTGTAGAAAATGTTTGACAAGACTATGTGAGAGCACATCTGGTTGTCCCTCTTTTAGTGGTCTTCACAGTTGCTTTGTTTAATGCCTGTAGCAGTTCATTGGAAACAACCTTGTAATCTTGCCTGCCTGTTAAAACTAGTTAGTTTTCAAGATGTTACCAATCAGTGAGCTCTCTACTTTTTTTCAAGTCTCTTAGTGAACTCCCACCCCGAAGAGACTTTTGTCCCTTTCACCTTTACACTATGGTTAAAAGCTAGCCAATAATGCTTAAAATGCCATTTACAGTAGCACCAGAACATAAAATACCCTGATATAAATTAAGCAAAATGTATGCAAGACATGTACACTTAAAACTACAGAATGCTGGTGAGAGAAATTGAAGAAGACCTAAATTAATGGAGAGAAATGTCTGTTCGTGGGTAGGAATATTTAATATTGCTGAGATGTTAATTCTTCCAAATTGATCTGCAGCAGCAAGTCTTACACTTTATTGTGCATCAGAATCAACAGGAAGGCTTGTTAAAACACAGATTGCAGGGTCCCAGCCCTAGAGTTTTTGACCCACTAGGTCTAGGGTAAGGCCTGAATATTTTCATTTATAACAAGTTCCTAGGGTGATGTTGATGCTACTGGTCTATATTTTGTGAACCACTGATGTAGAGAGTCAGTCAAATACAAATCCAATAAAAATCCCATTAGATTTGTAGAAATCAAGATGTATATGAATTCTAAAATGTATTTGAAAATGCAGAGGCCCTAAAATAGCTGAAAGCGATCATGCGAAAGGAGAAAAAAATTAGAGGACTTCTATTGTCTTGATATTAAGATTTACTCTGTAGTTATTACTATAGTAATCAAGACAGTGTGGTACTGGCATAGAGATATATAAATAAGTGAATGGAAAAGAATAGAGCATCCAGAAATAGACACTATACATCCAATTGGCTTTTGACAGCAGCACCAAAGGAACACAATTACAAGTGGAAAGTTTTTTCAACAAATGGTGCTAGAAGAACTTAATATCCATGTGGAAAAAAAATAAGCCTTGATCCCTACCTAACATCATGTACCAGTGTTAGTGTAAGATGGAGCACAGACTAAACAGAAAAACTCAAACTCATAAAGCTTCTAGAAGATACGTAGTGGAATATCTTCACAACTTTGAGGTAGGCAGGACATAGAAAGCACGATCCAGAAAGGAGAGGCATTGATGATTAAACTTAATCAAAATTTAAAACTAAGCTTATTCAAAGAGAACATTAGGAAAGCAATACACTGGGAGAAAATAGTCACAATCCATGTATTTGACAAAGGACTCCAGACTATATAAAGAACACATCAACTCAATGACCTAAAAGAAAAAAAGACAAAGCTAATAAAAATTGGATAAAAGTCTTAAACAGTCACTTCATAAGATAGGAGAATTATTACTAAGCATATGAAAAGATACTCACCATCTCTAGTCATCAGGGAAACCACACTGAGATGCCACTACACTGCACACCCATGAAAAGAGCTAAAATTCAAAAGGTTAGCACTAGTCCTAACTAGAGCAACCATCCCTTTCCTACAGTGCTGGTTATTGTGAAAATAATACAACCACATTCCAAAACTGGCTGTTTGTTATAATATCAAACACACACTTACCCTGTGACCCCCACATTTTTTCTCCTGGCCTCTTTGAAGTCTTGAAGGAATAAATTTTTAAGCACACTTCTTGGGAAAGCATAGTCAAAAGAAGGTTTCATTGGTTGGCAGACCATACAAGGCCTCCTGATATACACCGAACTGAGTTTTCTACTTTTCTCCTTACACTTAATATACCCACTCTCCTCTCCAAGGATCTTCATGCTCTCTCTCAGGTTTGCTGTCTTTTCCCTCTCTTACCAGGTGGCACACTTCTGCTCGTGCTTAATTCCCCTTAAAATTCTTTGATGTTTTCCTCAACTGTTTTCTCAACTTTTTATCTCCTAGAGTTAATTACTCCTTTCTAGGTATAACTATACTGCCTTGTGCAGCTGTATAGCTGTTTGAGTTTAGTGTTATCATTCTTTGTTTAGTTCATCCATTTTTCTGACTATATTGTGAGCTGTATGGCACAAAGATTGTGTCTCATTCATTTGTTTGTCACAGGCACCTAACACAGAGCCTGATTCATTATTGGATAGGCTTTTGTTGACAAAAGTGGAAACCTCAGTGCCATGTCAATATATTACATGGTTTCCATGACATTGAATTTCTGACAGCCAACTATAAAATGACTTTGTAAAAGTGAACATATTTTGAAGGTGAGCATTGCCCGTCCTGCTATCCTAGAAATGCACATTTTACTGTAGGTTGCCAATATAGTACAGCCATTTTCATCAGTGTGGTACAAGTTGAATTAACATGTCACAAAATTAATGCGATAGATTTTCCTAATGACGACTTTATTCCATTAGAAATCACATGTAGCAAATATTTTAAAATATTGCTTCTCCTTTCATACTGAAAAAACAGTAGGAAACAAAATAAAGTTTTCCACTTCAAAAAGGAAATAGATGTATTGCTAAGTATTGACAAAATACATGACTCAGCAATAGGTTTACAGGCAGTAGAAGAAAACTGTAATGATAGACCTCACCTACTTTCTCCATGAAAAAGGAAGAAGAAA